CTGGGAGGCATATTACCCTTTTACTATATAGGATAGAGGCCTGGTGCACGGGTGGGGGCCGGCTGGTTTGCCGTGAAGGGTGTCCCGGATCAGGGTGGGGGTCCCGCTTGGGTGCCTGGCCAGCCTGGTTGAGGGGATGATGGCTGTTTGCAGCTGGTCACACCCCCTTCAGGGTGGGGGTCCCCACTGGGGTGTCTGGCCAGTCTGGGTGAGGGGCTGAGGGCTGTTTTCAGGCTGGCGGGCGACTGAAGCTCCCAACCTCTCCTTTCTTTCTTTCTTTTTTTCATTCTGGGATATATTTACCTTCCATGGCTGTCACTGGAACTGAGAGCCGGCTTTAGCTCTGAGGCTTGGCTCCAGCTCTGAGACCTCGGCTGCTGATCTGGGTTTGTTTGTGTTCTATAATTGAAACACTGTTTCAGCTCCAGCTCCGAGGCCCGGCTGGCTGAAAGCAGGTTTCTGGGGATTCTTTAGCTTCTATAATTGCAACATAGTTGCTTAGAGTGCAGCTCAGAGCCCAGCAACGGCAGGTGGGGAACCTTGGCTTCCTCCATCACTGGAGCAAGCAAGCCTCCTGTTCGCTTCAGCTGCCTGGCTGCCGGCCGCCATCTTGGTTGGCAGTTAATTTGCATATCACCCTGATTAGCCAATGGGAAGGGTACCAAAGTTACGGTTAATTACCATGTTTCTCTATTATTAGATAGGACTAGATGCCCGGTGCACAAAAATTTGTGCACTGGCAGGGGGGGCATGTCCCTCAGCCCCACTGTACCCTCTCACTTAGGTTGCTTCTGTGTAAATAATGATGTAATGAACAAATAGAAGCATGTGTCTTGTCAAATTAGTGTTTTGGGCCTGGCCGGCGTGACTCAGTAGTTGAGTGTTGACCTATGAACCAGGTGGTCATGGTTTGATTCCCAGTCAGGGCACATGCCTGAGTTGTGGGTTCAATCCCCAGTTTGGGGCATGCAGGAGGCAGCTGATCAATGATTCTCATCATTGATATTTCTCTCTCTCTCTCTCTCTGAAATCAATAAAAATATCTTTTAAAAAATTAGTGTTTTGGGTTTCTTCGGCCATATACCCAGAAGTGGAATTGTTAGGTTCTTCTTTGTCTCCTGTTATAGCCTTTGTTTTAAAGTCTATTTTGTCTGATATAGGTATTGCTATCCCAGCTTTTTAAAAAATTTGCATTGGCATAAAATATCTTTTCCCATCCTTTTATTAGGATAAAAGTTTTTTTTAAAAAATAGTTTTACACAAATATTAGAAAAACAGTTAATTTTAATTTGGAAACAAAATATTCTATGCATTAAAAGTGGTGCTTAAATATTATTTTCAGATAGTTACAGGTTGGGCAAAAGTAGGTTTACAGTTGTGAATATGTGAAACACTTTATTCTTGTATTATTATTTATTTATTAGTAATAAATATAACCTGTATGTCTTTTTCCATCTGTATAGCTCTAAACCTACTTTTGCCCATCCCTGTATATGTATTTAATGTTCCTTCTCTGTGATAAACCGAGAATGAAAAAAGATACTGAATCAAAGAATATGGTAAAAAAATAAATAAATAAATAACTAGGATCAGAAGACCTGAGAGACAAAGGAAAATTAAAGATGATAGGAACACTTCATTCCAATTCCTTCAAATATTATCCTTGTTTTATCTGTCAGATTAGCAACAATATATAAATGTTGTTCAGTTTTAGGCTGTAGGTTGATCTACTAAATGAAGCTATAAATAAATTTCCAGGAAAATGTAATAGATTGGCCTACTCTACATTGTACCCTGTAAATTTTATGGAAGAAATTATCCCTCCTTAAGGAAAAGAATAAAATGTTGTTCTGTTTCTAACTTAGTCACTGTAAATCACCTTGGAAGCAGAGGTTTGTCAAATAGATGTTCCCCAACAAAATGAATTGCAAAGAGGCTGAACTGTTTGATTGAAATAAGAAGATGAAATTTTCAATTATTTGCTAAAGCTGCATTCACAGTATAACAAAAAGCATTATTGCCTCAAAAGGAATACTTTCAAGACTCAGTGTTCTTTCACTAATATAAATAACTCCATTTTGGCAGTTCAGGTCATTTGGAATCCAACAAAGAACAGAACATTGTCAGTAACAACGGCTGTAATAGAAAGCAAGGTCAAATTTTCTTCTTTGAAGCACTGACTTGGATGCTTATGTGATGTTCCTAGGATTAGTCACCTGGAGTGTTTCAGTTCTTTTCAGCATGTAAACTTTCTTAGATTAGTTCAAATTTGCAAGGAGTTTCTATCAGGGGTTCTTTCTTAGGGTTTTATGCAGAGTAGATTTTAAATGGAATTAGTCTTTTTTCCCCCAAAGAGTTGAGGAATCCAGAACTTGGGCAGGTTGAGTAGGGAGACCAGGAAGAAGGCTGTTGTGCCCAGCCGGTGTGGCTCAGTGGTTGAACATCAACCTATGAACCAGGAAGTCACAGTTCCATTCCCAGTTAGGGCACATGCCTGGGTTGTGGACTCAATCCCCAGTAGGGGGTGTGCAGGAGGCAGCTGATCAATGATTCGCTCTCATCAACATCGATGTTTCTCTCTTTCTGTCCCTCTCCCTTCCTCTCTGAAATCAATGAAAAGAAAAAAAGAAAGAAGGTTGTGATCACGCAGTAGGTCGGGCCAGGGTAGTAGCAGAGGAGGTAAAGAGTAATAGATGATTAAACATATACTTTGGACCAATAGACTTTGTTAAAAAGAAAAGTCAAGGATGTCGACCAAATTTTTGATTAGAATAATTAGATAAGAGTGGAGCCATTTACAAAGCTGGTAAACTGAGAGATCTGAAAAGAAAAATAGAAGTTAATATTATGTGACTCTTCCTGTGCATAAGAAATTTTAAAATACCCTCAAGTCTTTGCTTTTGAAAGCATGTTCTAATTTTTTTCCTTGGTACAGTATGATTTTGGTGTATTCTTCATACCTCTTAAATTATTTAATGCTTTGAAAGTTCTACCGATAATAATAATAAATGATAAAATATTCACTACTAACTCATTTCAAATGAGTTTATCTTTTGTGAAGATTAGAAAAAAATTTTTAGACAATCTTTTCAGCCTTTCCCCAAGTTCCATGATTTTTCAAATAAATACAATGCTTTTAAAAATCATTTTTTTAGATAGTCACTATTAGTTGGTCTGGCAATGCTAAGCTAACTCATATAACATTATTTAAAGGAGGTCGAGGGGAGGGAGAAAGACTACTTTGTTTTTTTCCCCTTTATTGATTAAGGTATTACATATGTGTCCTTATCCCCCATTGCTCCCCCACCCCCACCCCCACTCATGCCCTCACCCCCCTGGTGTCTGTGTCCATTGGATAGGCTTATATGCATGCATACAAGTCCTTTGGTTATTCTCTCCCCCTTACTCCCACCCTCCCCTACCTTCCCTCTGAGGTTTGACAGTCTGATCAATGCTTCTCTGTATCTGGATCTGTTTTTGTTCATCAGTTTATGTTATTTATTATATTCCACAAGTGAGTGAGATCATGTGATATTTATCTGAGAAAGACTCCTTTAAAATTTTTAGATGTTCATTCACTCAAACAAAAGATTATAGTGACCTCTAGTGTTCATTGAGAGTATCTGAAATTTACCTGACCTACAGATATTGAATGTAGCATAGAAATGAATGAGAGGGAGACAAGTGAAAAAGGTCATTGTAGTAACTATAGTAATGATTAAAATGGGTGCATAATTTCTGAGAGCTCAGAGCCCCTAATCTGGTTTCAGAAATTAAGGAGTAAAATCCTGAAGTAACTACCTCCTGAACTGATACGAAAAGGGGGAAAAAATCACAGGTGTCAGTGTGGGAAGAGCATTGCTGTCAAAAAACAAACAAAAGAAAACAGCAGCGTGAGTCAAGGTAGAAAACCAAGTAATGAATTATATTGTGGGACAGTTTCAACTGCACCAGCATAAAACGGGCAGTGAGTGTCAGGAAGGGAAACAGGAGAGGGAGGCAAAGCTAAGATCAAGCAGAGTTTGTACTTTCTACATAACAGGAAGCCAGCCTTATGATTCATATAGAGATCTGGCAGCCCTTGGGGGGAGGGGGAATAAGTAGCGACTAAAATTGGATGTTATTGTAGTAGACGATGTAAAAGTAAGAAGAGAAGATGGATTTAATAAATAATTGGAAGACAAAATCAATAATTGGACTTGATGGCTTGATTGTGTATAAAACCTAACGGCAAGGAGAGAGTCAAGGATGTCACCTTTTTTTAAAGGTCAGATAGATTGTATGTTCATCAATTAATGCTTTTAAATTATAAGAAAAAAATATGGTTAGTAGGAAAGATGACATGTTAACTTTGAGGTGCATGGGAAATAGTAATGTGTAAATGCCAACAGGTAATTGGATTTCCTGTTTTTGATTCTTTGAGGAGAGAATTAAGTAAGAGATATGAATTTACTTTTATCCGCATAGAGATGGTTGCCGAAACAATAAAAGTGGATAAGATTTCCCAGGAAGGGGGATCTATATAATAAAAGCCCAGCAACCGTTATGGTGGAATGACCAGAACAACCAGTTGCTATGACGTGCAGTGACCACCAGGGGACAGATGCTCAATGCAGGAGCTGCCCCCTAGTGGTCAGTGCGCTCCCACAGGGGGAGCACCACTTAGCCAGAAGCTGGACTCATGCCTGGTGAGCACAGTGGCGGTGGTGGGAGCCTCTCCGGCCTCCACTGCAGCGCTGAGGAGCTGCGAGCCAAGCAGTCAGGAGCGAGGGGTCCCAGATTGCGAGAGAGATGTCCAACTTCTGGTTTAGGCCCAATCAGCCCTAAACTGACAGTTGGACATCCCCTGAGGGGTCCTGGATTGCGAAAGGGTGCAGGCTGGGCTAAGGGCCCCACTCCCACACAAATTTCATGCATCGGGCCTCTAGTATAGTATACAACAAAAAAGAACAATTTTTCATGGTTGGATTTGTTTAGAATATATTAGAAAGAAAGGGTCGGTCTCACTTCTGCAGCACGTATACTAAAATTGGAATGATACAAAGAAGATTAGCATGGTCCCTGTGCAAGGATGACATGCAAATTCGTGAAGTGTTCCATAGTTTGCACTGTGCCTGGATGGGGCTGGGAAGGAATATGAGTCAAAGCACAATCAATGAGTGGCACTCAGCAGAATTGTGACCTTTGCATTATAAAGATATTTGTGTAAGGCCAAAAAAAGGAAGGAAGGAAGGAAGGAAGGAAGGAAGGAAGGAAGGAAGGAAGGAAGGAAGGAAAAAAGAAGGAAGGGAGAATCCAATTTATTCAATATCAAAGTATAATTCAATGAAAGAATCAATATTTCCAAAGTTGCCTTTTGAGGTCTATCTATACAAATACTATTGTAGTATCAAATGAATATATATTATATTTATTTACTATATTAATCAGGACTCCTTCAGCAAATAAATAAATAAATAAATAAATAAATAAATAAATAACTCTACATAAACTAACATGAGTAAAAGACTTCCTTACCATGCAAACTGAAGTCTCAGGGAATTGACTACTCCAGGCACAGCTGAATCCAAATGCCATGTCTTTAGTGGGCTCTCTCCATGTCTAGAAGGTACTTGAGTATGTGTTGACTTGATTTTCACACAGAGGCAAAAAAAAGGTTGTGGGATGAATTTGCATGTAAAACTAATGACAACTGAGGAAAAAAACAGCTCTCTTTCCCTGCAGTGTCTCATATCCACCTCCCTAAAAGAACTCTGATTGGTTTGATGTTGATCAACCAATCACTGTGCCCAGAAAGATGATATATTCTGATTGATCACCCCGGGTTATGGCACACAGTGATAACAGTAAAGCCATATATGTATTAGGCAGCCCTCTGAGAATTACATGGAAAGGTTGTTTCCTCCAGGGATTCATACTTTAGTAATTAAAATAAGTAGTTGAGTATGAGAAGAACATAGATGCTACAATATAAGCAAAGACTATGAAAGGAATATCTTCTCATGGGAGAAAGCTTCTTGAAAGTCATTTTATTTCAGGGTGTCCTGCCTAAAGAAGTTGGTGTCCTTCATCATTAAACCACATACACATCTATCCAGGAGTGAGAAAGCTAAGGAAGTGGAGTGTTGTAGGCCTGGATCATGCCAGTGAGGTAAGCCAGCAGATAGACACCATTTGTAAGCTACAGAATACCTGCCCCAGACTGCTTTAATAGCTTAACAATAACTTAATAGCTATTTGGAGAGCAGAAGAAAGGGTCAGTGTATGTGCTCAATATATAAGATTGTGCTCTGGAATCTATTGCTGCATTTACATCAACGGTCCCAAATCACATTACTCTCTGATAGATTTTCCCAGTTCACCACCAATAAAATATTCAGCAGTGTAGCTTCTGCCTTTTGCCATGGACTATCTTTGTTTCATCGGCCAACACAATAGCATCCTAATTGCCTACAGGTAGTGGGCAAGCCAGTCTCAAGTCTGTATCTCACTGCCTGTTTTCTTAGACCACTTCTGATTTTACCTGTGTTATTCCAGGTGCCCCCTCAAAGCAGACACTAAGACTGGATTGAATATAAAGGCTTTTATTGAGGAAAATGTTTCATACAGCCATCATATCACACTGCAAGTCTGACCTACAGTGAAAGAGAGAAGGAAGGAAAGTTAGGTGTCATTTAGTCTAGGAAAGTGCGGAAAGGCCAACAAGGAGTCACCAACACAAAGCGCGTCACCAGAGGATTCTTTAGAACCTGCCACTCTCAGGGTGGCACTGGCAGCAGCCTGTGGGGAGTGTGGCCTTAGCACAAACATGGTGATGATTTCACAGTATGGCAGCTCACAGCCTCAGTCAGTTATGCTTCCAGTAGCTGGTGGCCTGAGAGGCAATTCTCATGACCACCCTGATCAGTGAACTCGTAGAAAGACCATTACATTCTGCAAAGTGAAGGGAAATAAAATTGCAAATAAAGAACAGTCGCTCAGAGATCTTTGGAACATTTTACGTGATCTAACACACATATAATTTGAATGCCAGAATGAGAAGAGAAAGAAATTGGGACAAAAAAAGAACTAGGAAAAAAATAGTTGAAATTTTCACAAATTTGTGGAAATAACTCACTTACCTATCCAAGAAGCTCAACAAATTCAAAGCAAGATAAACACAAGAATATCACTAGTCCAACTACCAAAAATTAAACTAAATAAATTACATTGAAGCGGTCAGAGAAAAACATTACATATAGAGGACCAATGATATATAATGCATTGAGTTATTGAAATGACATTTTATGAGAAGCAATGGATGCCAGAAAACAATAGAAAACCATCTTTAAAGTGCATCTGGAGCATTCATCAACCTTGTCACATGCTAATCCATAAAACAAATCTCATGAAATATCAAAAATATTGAAATTTTAGAGTATGTTTCCTGACCACAATGGAATTAAAGAATAGAAACAATTAAATTGTCTTTATTTCCAAATGATGTGATTGTTTATACAGAAACATCAAAATGCAGAAAAATAAACCTAGTAGCCACAAACATTTATTGCTGTTTACTGGCAAATAATTGGAAAATGAAAATTTTAAATATCATTTACAATAGCATTAAAAATATAAACTATTTAAGAGTAAATTTTCAAAAATTGTACAAAACTTCAACAGTGATAAATACAAAATATTAATAAGAGATATTAAAGAAAATTTAGGCCCTGCCAAGTGGCTCATTTGGTTGGAGCATCATCCATGCACCAAGGGTTGTGGTCTATTCTTGGTCAGGGCATAAACTTAGATTGCAGGTTCAATCCCTAGTTGAGGTATGCACAGGAGGCAATCGATGTTTCTCTCTCACATCAATGTTTTTCGCTTTCCCTTCCTTCCTCCCTCTCTAAAATCAATACAAAAACATATCCTTGGGTGAGGATATTTTTTTTTAATCTAAATAAGTGGGAACTTATATCACGATCATCAGTTGGGAGACACAATCTTTTTAAGATTAGTAGTCTTCCAAAAATGATCTGTAAATTCAACACAATTCCAACCAAAATCCTAACAGACTTTTTCTTTTTCTTTTCTTTTTTAAATATATTTTATTGATTTTTCACAGAGAGGAAGGGAGAGGGATAGAGAGTTAGAAACATCAATGAGAGAGAAACATCGATCTGCTGCCTCCTGCACACTCCCCACTGGAGATGTGCCCGAAACCAAGGTACATTGCCCTTGACCGGAATCGAACCTGGGACCCTTGAGTCCGCAGGCCGACGCTCTATCCACTGAGCCAAACCGGTTAGGGCCTAACAGACTTTTTCTAGAAATTGACAAGTTGACTCTAAAGTTTTTCTGGAAATGCAAAAGACCTAGAGTAACAATCTTGGAAAAGAAAAACAAAGCTGCCCTGGCTAGTGTGGCTTAGTTGGTTGGGCATTGTCCTGTGCACTAAAAGGTTGCCAGTTCAATTCCTGGTTGCAGGCTCGATCCCTGGTAGGGAGCATGCAGGAGGCAGCTGATTCATATTCTGCTCTCACATTCATGTTTCTCTCTCTCTCTCTCTCTCTCTCTCTCTCTCTCTCTCTCTCTCTAAAACAAAAACGATATGAAAAAAAAAAGAACAAAGCTGGAAGCCATATACTACCTTATCACAAGACTGTTTAAAGTGGTAGTAATTAAGACTGTGGAAATGACATATTGATTGATAAATAAAGGGAACTAAAATGAAAGTTGAGAAATAGATCCACACATATAGTCAATTGATTTGTGACATAGTAGCCAAGGTAATTTAATATGCAAGGTAAAGTCTTCTCAATAAATTGTGCTCCACAAATTCTAGATCTTCTTCAGAGATTCAGTATAATTTCTTGTTTGGCCTCACCAAACGCTCATCTCTGTCTGTTCCATTTAAGAAGACTTCTGGGGTCTGTTTGGCTTCCTGATGCCTGCACGAAGCCTGGAACCTCGGGTAAGCTGGAACAAACACAGGGTTCACCTTATTGTTTCCTTTCTCAGAGATAATAGTCCTGTGCTGCCAACTGTCTAATGTCAGAAAGCAGTTGTTAAATATATGTTGTCCAGTCATGGGAGAAAGTAAATCCAGACCCTGTTACTCCATTATGGCTCAAACAGAAGCTAGTGTTCACTCTTTAAAGAGCTCCCCAAGTGCTTAGTGAAGAATAGGTTATCATGGAGCAAAAATGGAAGAAATGGAAACAGAGTCTATTCAGGAGGTATTGCAGCAGTCTAACTGAGAAAAGATATGCTAAGATTAGTGTAGTAGTAGTCAAAAAGGGGGACCAGCCCTAGCCAGTTTGGCTCAGTGTATAGAGCGTCTGCCTGCTGATCAAAAGGTCCTGGGTTTGATTCCCTTCAAGGGCACGTACCTCATACCTCGGTTGCAGGCTCCTCCCAGGCACAGGCCCTGGTCAGGGTGTGTGGAAGAGGCAACCAATTGTGTTTCTCTCAACTAGGTATTTCTCTCTGTCTTTCCCTCTCTCTTCCACTCTCTCTAAAAAATAATGGAAAAATATCCTCCAGTGAGGATTTTAAAAAAGGGACGGGGGACCAGTTGGCTGCTGGATGCATTTTGGAGTCAGAACTGACAGTACCTGCTGATAGGTTGGATTTAGGGCACAGAGAAGGGGACAGACATGGACATTAAGAGAAATTGCACAAGTTTTTGGCCTAAAAAACTGCCTAAATGCCATTTACTGAGAAGAGAAGACAGGGCTATGAGAAGATTTATGGCTCTTTTTGGTGGGGGGGGTGGGGGGGTGAGGGTTGGCAGGGTATGGAGAGTGGGGGGCAAAAATTTAAAACCTCAGTTCTTTTAATGGAAGTATAAAAGAGAAAGTTCATATTCTTCTCCCTACCAGAATGGATTTTTAAAACATTTTTCTTATGTTTTTATTGTATACTAGAGGCCCGGTGCATGAAATTCGTGCACTGGGGGGGTGGTCCCTCAGCCCAGCCTGCACCCTCTCCAATCTGGGACATCCCTCTCACAATCCAGGACTGCTGGCTCCCAACCACTTGCCTGCCTGCCTACCTGATTGCCCCTAACCACTCCCCTGCCAGCCTGATTGACGCCTAACTACTCCCCTGTCGGCCCGATTGCT